ACACCCGCTCCCAGCCCAGCCACAGATTAAACACCCAGCAATACTGATAAACACCCGCTCCCAGGGTAAACTCCCCCCTCCTCTCTGCTCCGAGCAGGAACTAAAATAGAGCAGGTTCTCAGCACAGGTGGCTCAGTCAATCCGGTTCTCCACAGGATCACGGAGCTCACAATCCAGGCTGACGCTCAGTGCAGTGCTGGGGGGGTGGGGGGAGAGAGAGAGAGAGCACTGCCTTGTCATCCACAAAATATGCAGTCACTCCACTTTGCAGTATATTCTGTGAAGCGCTTTGAGACGTCTCGATATGATACGGGGCTGTATCAAATGCAAGGATTATTATTGTGTGCAGGTCAGACAGACGTGGCACTATCAGGAAAAAGAAAGAATTTCTCTCTCTCGCAGTCTCTCAGTGTCCTGGCCGACAATCCCTCAGTTAAAATTCTTCCTTAATCTCGTGGCAAATTGGCTGCTCACTTGCCACCCCCTCCGTCCCGAGAAACAGTCACTACGCTCAACAACAACCACTGCGACTCCAAGCTGCAACCAAATGCAGGATTCTTCTCGTTAACACCGGGGAGCTGGTGTGGTGAGAGCAGCAGAGCTGTGCGTGTGCGTGTATAATAGTCACACCAGACCCTCGCCTCGCACACACGCACACCCGTCTATCAGCTCGTTAATTAAAGGCAAGCATTAAGAAAGAGGGAACGAAAGCCGAGGGGCGAGGATGGGGAGGGAAGGAAGAATTGGGGGAGAGGATTAAGGGGGGGAGAGGATTCCGGGAGAGAGATTTCAGGGGGAGTATTCGGGGAGCTGTGTCTGGACAGATGTTGGTGAGGTCGGTTACCTTGCAGGATGGCGTTGGCCATGAGGCTGGGGGCAGGGGCATAGCACAGCGACACTGCTCTGCGGGTCAGAGCTGCCGAGTCTCTCTTCTCCTGCGAGAATAAAAGCCAAGTCACCATAACCCTTTAACTGCCGCAAAGCTCCCTCCAGCGTCGACCTCGGAAAATCATCGGCATTCGCACCTGCGCAATGTCCCTGCGCGAGAGCTGATCGCGTAGCGCAAAGTAAACTAACCCTTTACTAACTGCTTCAAAAATAAATGACAACTCAAATAAAGGATCGGGTCACTCAGTCCGCGACTGTTTTTGGGGACACGGCTGACGCGTTCGTCCACAAAATACACAGTCAATTCACTTTGCAGTGTGTGCTGTGAAGTGCTTTTGACACGTCTTGAAGATGTAATAAGGCGCTATATCTTATGCAAGGATTCATAGAATTATACAGCACAGAAGGAGGCCATTCAGCCCACTGTGTCTCTGCCGGCTCTTTGAAAGGAGCTACCCAATTCAATCCCACTCCCCGCCCTCTCCCCATAGCCCTGCAAACTTGCCCTCCCCCAGGTTATTATTATTATTATTATTGTTATTATAAAGCCTGCTCATCTGCCTCTGGTCTGGACTGGAGACTGACTGTAAGCAGTAACAGCTGTAAGACATGTGAGGAGCGGTTGTTTCTGATTTTAATTGCAAACGGTTGGAAAGGGTTAAGGGGAGCGGGTTGGGAAGAGTTAAGGGCTGGGGTGGGTAGGGTTAAGGTCTCACCTGGCTGCACTGTTGCCTCCTGAGCGCCACTTGAGCTGCCATGATGCGCTGTCTCTCCAGCACCAGCAGACAGTTACTACACTCGCACTCCCGCCAGCGGCAGCAGCGCTTGTGACCCTTCAGGCCGGACACCACGCCGTGATTGCGGCAGCGAGCGCACTTGGGGGTCCTGCTCGGCGTCCGCCCCGGGACCTCACACCCCGGCAAAGGCTCCACAGTTACCGGCTGCTCACAGCCGCCGGTGGCCGCACACATCCCACTGGGACACTCGCAGAGCACAGCAGACCACAGGTGGTGGGTCAGCGAGAGAGCTCTCAACCTGCCACGGACTCTCTGTGTGTCTGTGTCTATCTCTGTGTGTCCATGTATGTATCTGTCAATCCCTATCTGTCAGTGTCTTTCTTTCTGTCCCCGTGCGTGTGTGTATTTCTGCCAGTCTGTATGTGTGTCAGTGTGTGTAACTCTGTGTGTGTCTCTCTCTGTGTAACTCTGTGTGTCTCTCTCTGTGTAACTCTGTGCCTCTCTCTGTGTAACTCTGTGCCTCTCTCTGTGTAACTCTGTGCCTCTCTCTGTGTAACTCTGTGCCTCTCTCTGTATAACTCTGTGCCTCTCTCTCTCTGTAACTCTGTGCCTCTCTCTGTGTAACTCTGTGCCTCTCTCTGCGTAACTCTGTGCCTCTCTCTGTGTAACTCTGTGCCTCTCTCTGTGTAACTCTGTGCCTCTCTGTATAACTCTGTGCCTCTCTCTCTCTGTAACTCTGTGCCTCTCTCTGTGTAACTCTGTGCCTCTCTCTGTGTAACTCTGTGTGTCTCTCTCTGTGTAACTCTGTGCCTCTCTCTGTATAACTCTGTGCCTCTCTCTGTGTAACTCTGTGCCTCTCTCTCTGTGTAACTCTGTGCCTCTCTCTCTGTGTAACTCTGTGCCTCTCTCTGTGTAACTCTGTGCCTCTCTCTCTGTCTTTGTGTGTGTCTCTCTCTTCGTGTGTAACTGTGTGTGTGTGTCTCTCTCTCCTCTGACGGGTGGTGGTTGGGGGGGGGGTGTAAGGGCTACATATATCCCGCTCCTCGCTTATCTCTGGCGTCTATCAATGGAAGAAGCGGGCGTTACAGCATTAACCCTTACAGTGCTGGTGTGGACACTCATTACCCCTCAGCGCTCCTCCTCCATCGTCTGAGGGCAGGGCTGGGTGGGGGGGGCTGAAAGAAAAAGGGGAGTGGGGGGGTGTAAGGTTTTCTGTAACCGCACGTGGGACGTTTTCACAGCCACTTGCGCATCTGTGCAGCGGATTTTAACTCTTGAGCCAACAGCGTGTTCAGCCTCACCTCCAGCCCCGTGTCCGTGTGTCTGACTCTGTGGGCGTCACTGTGGGCACAGGGCAGCCATTTGCACTGCTATTCATTTACCTTAATCTATGTCCGGGTGGGCAGTCCCTCACTCCCACTTACACACTCACTCTCTCCCACTTACACACTCACTCACTCACTGCCACGCACTCACCCCCATTTACACACTCGCTCACTCCCACTTACACGCTCACTCTCTCCCACTTACGCGCTCACTCACTGCCATGCACTCACCCCCATTTACACACCCACTTACACACTCACTCACTGCCACGCACTCACCCCCATTTACACACTCACTCACTCCCACTTACACACTCACTCACTGCCACGCACTCACCTCCATTTACACTCACTCCCACTTACACGCTCACTCACTGCTATGCACTCAACCCCACTTACACTCACTCACTCCCACTTACACACTCACTCACTCACACGCACTCACCCCACTTACACATTCACGCACTCCCACTTAGACACTCACTCCCACTTAGACACTCACTCCCATTCACTCATCCCCATTTGCACACTCACGCACTTACACTTACCCACTCCCACTTACACACTCACCCCGACATACACACTTACTCCCACTTACACTCACTCACTCCCATTTACACATGCACTCCCATTTACACACTCATACACAGATTCACCCTCAATATACATAAATACTCACACTTTACACACAATCATATACTTATACTCGCACAATGACACACTCGCTCACACACTGACACGGTCAACATTACACACAGACAGACCGTCAACCTTTGGGGCACACTCCCCCTCTGTGCAACACGATCTCCATCAGTGGGGGCTGCTTGGGGGTGGTGGGGGTGGGTGATCAAAGTGGGGGTGTTGGGGGGGGGTTGACACCTTCAATCATACCCATACACACACACTGACACGGGGAAGGTGCAACACTTACACCATTACTGTGTCACTGACTGATTGTGAGCACTAATAGTGACACACACTGCACACATGGCTGTGTTTCAGGCGTAGTCTGTGGTGTGAACTGTAGTACAATGTGTTGGGTTTATTCTGCAATCTGTTAGACTGAGACAAATTGTGAAGGTGTGATTCTCTGACACCGTTTAGATAAGAGACAAGAGGATGGTGCGCGTGTGTGTGGGGTCGGTGGGTGGGTAGGCTGAGTGTGCGTGTGAGGTGGGGCTGTGTGTATGATCCTGAACATCCAGGTGGCTGGCAAATCATATGTTGTCCTGTAAAGGTTCTCCCACCACCCAGAAGGCAGATGCCCGCCAGATAGCGGCTGAGGAAACTCTTGAGGCTTCGGGCGACAGCTGCTGGAAGGTGTTACCCGGAGTCCGAGTTTGTGAACGCACGGTCGTACGTCCAGCGCCTGGAGTACACCTCGATTCGCTGCTGAGAGGCAAGCAGCTGTTGCTTAAACACCGCAAACACCGCACCTCCAACTGGTGGGACCATCGCTGAATGGGAAGGGGCGTGCGTCTACGCTGTGGCCAGGAAGACGATTGCAATGCCCACGCGTCATGCTGAGTTGTGTTGCCCACCAGGAAGCTCGCAGGGAGTTCCTGGTACCCGCCATCCACCTTGTGAGGGCTCAAACCCACACTTGTTGGATGTTAAATGACTATCCTCCTGAGAGGGAGGAAAGCGCAGTCTCCTAGGAGCTGAACTGGCCCAAAGGTGACATCTGGCAATGGAATGTGGGCATCGCGCCAGCCCTCCGTGACCGTCTCTAGTTCGGTTCCTGACCCAGGTGGGTCCGCAGTATTCCAGAGCACTGCTGTCGACAGCGCAGCCCATCCTGGCTCATTGGCAGGACCTGCAAGGGCAGATCAGTCACTAGGGGCAGGGAGTCAACCCACTCGGCTCCTGTTAACCCTGCAGCCAAAGCCCTGGTGGGGGGGGGGGGGGGGGGGGGGGGGGAAGGAAGAGAGAGAGACCATAAAGAAAACCACCAAAAATTTATATTTATTTAAAACATGTGTTCGTAACAAGCAAACTGTGCTAGGCTCTTGCTCCCGTGATGGTCCTTCTCCCCCGGGGGGGGGGGGGGGGTCTCCTCCGATGGTCCTTTTTCCCCCAATGGGCGGGGTGGGGGGGGGGGTCAGTTGCTGGGTTCCTGGGAGGAGGTTTGGCTTGTCAGGCAGATTCCGGAGTCCTGGCTCTCAGGAGTGGCCTCTGCAATACAGACAGTTACTGCACTACAGTCACTACATTTACGCAGTCACTACAGCAGTCACTACACACACACAGTCACTACAACACACAGTCAACACACAAACAGTCACTGCATAACACAGTCACTGCACAACACAGTCACTGCATAACACAGTCACTGCACAACAGTCAATACACAACACAGTCACTACACACATTCAATCATTTTCATTGCACGCAATTCACTACACATACAGTCACTACACAACACACATTTACTACACTTTACGTGAAGCGTTTTGAGTCATCCTCCTGACAGGCTACGTCAGATGTAATTATTATTATTTTGTTGTTCCTACCGGCCGAGACCTCCATCTCACTGGCTGGGTCCACAGTCCGCGGGGGGAGGAGCGGGGGGAGGTAGGAGGGACCGGAGAAGAGCCGTGGTCCCAGGAACGATGGTGGTGAGTAATAGGAGGAGTGTAGACTGTAGCCATTGTCTCTCATCTGCCAACACACAGCAGACAGTCAGGTCAGGGGGGCACGGGGGGGGAGGGTCTGGGGGAGAGGGGTGTCAGCGGGGGATTTGGGGACGGGGTAATTTGGGGACAGGGGTATTTGGGGAGGGGAGGACTGGGGTGATTTGGGGAGGATGGAGGGGTAGGATGGGGGATGATTTGGGGGGAAACACCGTGAAGAGCCTCACCAGCATGGAGTTGGGGTGAAAGGATCCCAGGGTGGCCTGCGGCTGCCTGATGCTGCCTCGGGGATGGCAGATTGCGGGGGACATGGTCTTGTAGCTGCCCTGGCTGACAGGGAAGCCCATAGAGAAGGGGTGGTAGCCATACATGCTGCCGCAGTAGCCAGTATACAGCTTGGGGGGCAAAATGTTCCGGTAAAAGCCTGCTCCGCCCGGGCTCCTCTCCGCCTGCTCCTTGCTGGTGCCGGCAGCCTCCTGGTACAGAGCGGTGTGATCTAGAGAGACAAGGTGTCAGCCATTACTGCCTCGATCATCACACTCCCCCCCGGAATACTGCCTCAATCACTCCCCCCCTCTGTGCAGGGTATCAGACTATACCCCACCGACAAACAATGCATCTCTCCTCCCCCTCCCTGAACACGGGAACAAACCCCGTCCCCCACCTCTGGAACAGGGCACCAAATGCACCCCACCACTCACACCTTGCCCCCCCACCCCGCCGTAACACTGCACTAACTGTGGGACGTCGCTGCGTACAAATCAGCCGCCACCTTCACCTACAACACAGTCACTACACTTCACCAGGAGTCCTGTGCAGCGCTTTGAGACGTGAGTTTAGGAGACAGTCTTTCATTCACTGGGGTGTGGGACGTCCTGTCGGGTCAGACGGGGGCGGCAGGTGTATGATAGGGGGGGTAAGGGGGGGGGGTGGTAGCGTTGGGGTGTGTGAGGGTGGAGTGTGGGCAGTGGGATTGAATGAACCCCTCGCTCCAAGAGATTGAGTGGACCCTATGTGCCGACTGTGAATTTCTTTGATTCTATCACATTGTGGAACGCGCTGTATTAAATGCAGGTAAGCGGGGTCTCCGTGAAGGTGAACTGGCCCCAAGGTGACATGTATGTGGGAATCGAGCCAACCCTCAGCGACAGTCTCCAGTCCGGTTCCTGAGCCAGGCGGGTCCGCAGTCCTCCCGAGCACCGCCGATGACAGCCCAGCCAGCCTGGCTCATCATCGGCAGGACCTGGAAGGCCAGACTACTACTGGAACTGCACCTAATACTTCCCGGAATTAGGTAAGCAGGAGGTATCCCTCCAGGGAGAGAGTGTGCACTCCATTCCAACAATGTACGGGTGAGATTGCACGGAAATCTCAGGTTGGTTTGGATACTCTTAAGCATAGTGATGAGTTTCCACATGTCAGACACCCAGCGGACCAAAAAAGTATCAAATGTAAGGATTTTATGTTATTCTAGCTGCACCCATTGCAGCTACGCTTGCAACCAAAGGATCCAATATGGGAATGTAGATTGACACACAGACAGACACACTTACTTATCCTTGAAAGGTCTGATTTTCGCTTAGGCATCTTTATATTGACAAATATCAAAGGTATGATTTATATTCACGGGGACGTCCTCCCGATGGGAAAGGCACTTTAAAAATGTAATTTTGTTGTTGCTGAGGCTTAGCTTCGTCTGTGTTCTTTATTTTGGTCCCGCCCCCACTTGGCTTCGTGCATGCTCTGTGACGCAGGATACCACGGGGCCACGGTCAGCCTGTGCAGCCACCAGGTGTAACTGCACAATGCCACAGCACCACCACCTTGACTTGGCGGCCACCAGATATAACTGCAGCGAAAAAATGATATACATTTTAGGTCATAACTCATGAACGATAGGAGGTACCCAAAAACAAATATGCCCGTGTCACTCCCAGGTGCAAGACCTTTCTGATGAGGTATAAATCATGTCTCTACTTCCAATTGATTATTGAAATCCTGCTTGAAGCGCACACAGACAGACAGTTTTACTAGTATAGATTATTACAATATGTTATGTTCCAACTCCTTCCCTCCATAGGCTGTAGATCATCCAGAATGTCCTCTTCCGCACCAGGCTCTCTGACCCTATCACCCCCATCCCCATCCTCACCCGACTCCACTGCCTTCCCATCACACAGAGGATACATCACACACAGTTCAAGATCCTGGTCCTCACCTTCAAAGCCCCCATGGCCTTGCTCCCCCCCCCCTACCTCCTAACCCCCTCGTAACCTGCCCGCTCCCTCCACTCAGCGGGCTCCCTCCAGCCTGCTTCACGTCCCATGCCTCGCCCGCTCCATCACTCAGCGGGCAGGCCTTCAGCCACTCTGCCCCCCCCCACCCACCCTCTGGAACTCCATCCCGCAGTCCCTCTGCCTCGCCCCCTCCTTTGCCTCCTTCAAGACCCTTCTCAAGATCCCCCTCTTCGACAGTGCCTTCCCTCCCTGCCCTCCATCTTTCTCGATCCCGACCCCCCCCCCACCCACCCCAACACAGGTTTGAGACGCTGATGGTCCAGCGCAATTTTGCTGTCGTTATTAACCTTAAGAAAGCTCACCGCTCGGTGCTCACGTTTTGAGTCAGTGACAAAACAAGAGACGGAGAGAGAGAGAGATCCCGTCAATTAAGTGTCAGAACACAGTTCAGAAACAAACAGCCAGAATTACCGCCGCCCCCACACACAGACACCCCCCCCACCAGACACCCCACACACACAGCCACACACACACACACAGCCACCAACCTCCCCCCCACCACCCCCACCAACAGAGCCACCCCATACACAACTCTCCCCCCCCCACACCCCCACCCACACACACACTTTTTCTCTTCACTGTGTCAAACACAAACAAAAAGTGTCGATGTTTGTTCCCTGGAGAAAGACTCTTTCTTATATTATTGTTTAAGGTTAATTAACGTTGTTCTGTGTGTGTGTGTGTGTGTGTGTGGGTGTGAACACAGGGGAAACAGGGGGTGGAAACATTGTAGAGAGTGTGTCAGTCTGGAACGGTCTGTCCAGCAGAAACCACACCTGATATATATATATATATCTCAGTTATATCTCAAACCTCTTAACTCGAGATGTTTAACGACCAGAGACACAGACAGACCGAGACAAGAGAGAGAGGTGGAGAGAGAGAGATGGAGAGAGAGAGGAGAGATGGAGAGAGAGAGAGGAGAGATGGAGAGAGGAGAGAGAGAGGAGAGAGAGAGAGAGAGATGGAGAGAGATGGAGAGATGGAGAGAGGGAGAGAGATGGAGGAGAGATGGAGAGAGGAGAGAGAGAGGAGAGATGGAGAGAGATGGAGAGATGGAGAGAGAGGAGAGAGATGGAGAGATGTCCTCACAGAGAGCGAGAGGGTACCACAGGGAAGTGGCTTTAAACTAAAAACAAAGTAAACATAAAAGTGAGGTCTGGAATACAACAGATTCCTCTATCCCCCCCCACCCCCACCCATCCCCCCCCCCACCCCACCCCCACCCATCCCCCCCACCCCACCCATCCCGCCCACCACCACCCCA